CAAAAAGAAACGGACGTAAATCGAAACAATCAGTACTTTCCCACATCACCGAGTGAATTCAACTTGACTCTGAACTCAGAACAAAAGTACCCTTACCCCCTACATCAAAAAAGTGTTAGAAGTAAAATAAAATAAACAAGAATAAAATTATAAATTAAAAAGAAAAACATTTAATAAGGATCTGACTCTATCCGAATTGGAGCACTCGGGGTTTCAGTTTCGAGTGTGCGCGCATGCGCAAGTCATAACGTGGTTACGACATGAAGTCTTTGTGAAAAAAGCACTTTTTAAAAACGCCAGCTGAAAAAAGCACTTTTTAAAAACGGCAGCTGAAAAAAGCACCTTTAAAAGCTTTTAAAAACGAAATCTCCCAAAAAGCACCTTTAAGTACTTTTTACAAACGCTACGCACCCTGTCCAATATATATATTATAATATAAATTTTTGGTAAAAAAGAGAGAAAAAAATTTTAAAAAATATCTGGTTTTTTTTATTAAAAATTTTTAATTTTCAGTAAATATACAATCAATTTAACTGATAAAAAATTAGTTCTTCGAACACTAATATTTTTCATAAAAATTATCATATTTGCCGTCAACATATCTAAATATACACATATCTAAACTAAATAACAACATATCTATAATCTTCACTCAAAAAAGTTTTGCACCTCTTTAAGCAAATACTATATAGTAAATACATGTTTGTTATAGTGATTATTCTACGTATTTTTCTTCGGTAGAATAATGCTCTATCACAGGTGAAAATAATTCTTAAACTAAACTTTTCTTTAAACTTAACTTCTCAATGTTAAAATGTCTATTTTGTATGGGAAAATATGAATTGTTTTCAGCAACAGATGTATTTATGCTACACACTATATAAAATTGTTACACAGCAATTAAGCAATTTTGTTGGAAAATATATGTTTCAAAAAAGAAAATATGCTTTTTCAAAAATATTAGTTCTGAAGCACAACAGAGATGCATTGGAGTATAGCTATAATGGGTTTTCAAATTACAAAAATGCATGCTTTAAATAAGACTCACCTTTTTCTGTCGTGTAATTAAATCCCAATCATCGACAAGCCAATTCCTTAAAAGTGGTGGCATTTCAATTTTAATTTCTTTTTCAGGTTCAACTTCCTCCTGCAATAAAAAATTAAAATTAGTTTTTTCAATAGTATGAAACATTAGAAATGAACTTGAATAAAAATTGAAAATCTTAAAGCCATCTTAATATGAAAAAAGCCAACCATTTCAGAGTTGACTGGTTTAAACCATTTCACCAAATGTTTAAAAAAAATAATAATAATATTTTATGTAATTAAATTTTCAATTATTTATATAAATACTTCCAGTTTGATTATAACAAAATGAAAAAAGATGAAGGCTTCTTACATTTTTTTACAGTTATGAGTTATGCTGCTTATGGGAATCTGTATTATTTCAAATAAAAATAAATCTGCAACTTTTAAAGGTTTACATAGAAATGATTTTCCACAAAAATATATGTCAAACAGCATTGGCTTTTAGTTAGGAAGAAACCTATTTCTTCCAGCACTATGTTAAACCGAGTTGGCTTTTAGTTAGCAAGCAACCTATTTCTTCCAGGACTGTGTTAAGCGGAGTTGGCTTTTAGTTAGCAAGAAACTTATTTCTTCCAGGACTATGTTAAACGGAGTTGGCTGTTAGTTAGGAAGAAACCTATTTCTTCCAGGGCTATGTTAAACGGAGTTGGCTTTTAGTTAGCAAGAAACCTATTTCTTCCAGGACAGTGGAAGAACCTGGACAAAATGGAAAAAACTAAAAAAAGATCAATACAATTGTTTAATCTATAATTATTTTTACTTTATTTTGTGATTCATATTTAATTGTACTCAATCAAATATAGTTTCAAAATGACAATTTGCATCTTTTTCAGTACAGTTTTTTCGTCCCCTCTACATCGCATCAATTTTCGTCAAAATCAAGGGAGGCGCTTTATCGTTATTTTACAGTAAATAAATTTAACACAAAGGCATAGTTAAGAAACTTAAAGCTGGTATAACATAATAATTTGATCATAATGTAAGACTCTTCGATTGATTTAGAATTTCTTTTTTCCTCCTCACAATTATAGCTCTCTCTTCGTTAGATGGGTAGGTACCTGCAAACTATATTTAGTAAAACCATGGTTTTAGACAAAAAATAATATAAATAGAGTCCTTTCAACAAAGAGAAACTTTTTGCAAAAGATCAAACTTTTCCACTTGAATCTAAGGAAAGTGTAGATTATTATTTTAGTCAAAAATTTAATTTAAATTTACTAACTCTTAAACAAAAAATATCAAATTAGAAATTTATACTTATAAATATGCACTATGCATACGCATATAGATATATGAATCATATAAGTATAAAATAATAATAAAAATTCCTTAAAATAAACCTATATTTTTACTCATTTATTTATTTTTAATTATAATTCATTTTTTTCAAATAAAAAAATTTAATTAAGACATATTTTGGTTTAAAATTGATTGATTGAATGTAGGGTTTAGTGGCACAAAGTCCAAATGAGGACATGCTGCGCCAGACAATACGGTAATTGTTCTAAAGCCTAAGTACATACAAAATTTAATTGTAGCACAATTATAACTGATAAATCAGTGAATAAAATTAGATAAAAGGTATGAGTATAATCAGATAAAAGTTTGAGTACAGTATAAAACGCACGAAGTGAGTAAAATGTACAAAATAGTAAGATGTTTGCAAAAGTGTATAAAATTGTAGATGTGTTAAAACTTTTATATGCTGTTAAAAATACCTACGGCACGTAAAAATGCAAAAATGTTAGGACGGTGAGTATCATCTAACAAATCTTGCAAGCATAAAATAGTACTTCCAAAAAGCTTTAAGCGAAGTTGATTAAAACATGGACACGATATTAAAATATGATGAATTGTGAGAGGGACATTACAAGTACTGCATTCAGGGGGAGGTTCTCCGAACAGCAAATGAAGATGCGTTAACCGGGTGTGACCGATTCGGAGTCTGGTTAGCTTTACATCAGCACTACGCAAGCGCAGCACTGGAAAATTATTTAAATCGAATTTAATGCTATGCAATTTATTGAGAACTTTCAGGTCCCATTGCTGTTGCCATAATGATGTTATCAACTTTCGAGTATGTAGCTTCATGTCAGAAAAAGGTATGGACACTTTCAAGACAGATGTGGCAGATCGTGCAGCTGTGTCAGCTAGTTCGTTCCCTGGAATACCAACATGACTTGGTACCCAGCAAAATATTATCTCGAAGCCATTCTTCTGAAGAGTGATTAACAAATGAATGATGAAACATAAAATTGGATGAGTATCACCGTGAAACTTTTCTAGTTGGCTCAAAACGCTCATACTATCGGTGTATAGGCAATACTTCCGAGTAGAGCGTGAGGAAATTAGACGTAGTGCCATAAGGATAGCCACAGCTTCAGCAGTGAAGACCGAGCAAATATCTGTGATTTTATAGCTAAATGTATCATCACCGATGATGACCCCACATCCTACATATCCGGCAGATTTTGAACCGTCTGTATAAATCGGTACATGATGAGAATATTGGTGACGATGTGCAGTGAAAAGTGTATGAAAAATGCAGGGTGTAACGTTGGCTTTATCGTGTAACTTGAAAAGAGAAATAGATTGGTATGGTGAAATGGTCCATGATGGTATGAGAAAGTGATCCACTGATTGTGATGGTAATTCACAGATATCGAATGATTGGATAAGTGAGCCTGTGCGAGCTTGAAGTGGGGGAATGTGTGATGGTCTAGCAATATACAGTCGCTCCAAGCTTGATGAAATAACATCATGCTTTAAAGGATGCGATTTAGAGGACATGATACTAAAGTAATATGTAAGAGACAGCTGGATGCGACGTAGATATAATGGTATCTGGTGACAAACAACATATAAGCTTTCAACCGGGGAAGTACGAAATGCTCCGGAACATATGCGTAAAGCAGTATGATGTACTGTGTCCAAGATTCGTAAGTTAGAGGTGGTTGCAGTACCATAAACAACGCATGCATAATCAAGCCGTGAAAGTATCAGGGCCCGATAAATGCGTAAAAGTGCTACGCGATCCGCTCCCCAGTACGTATTTGAGAGAACACGCAACATATTCAGTTTTTGCTCGCATCGCTTTCGTAATTGTTTGATGTGAGGGATAAAAGTTAACTTGCTATCAAAAGTGACTCCTAAAAATTTTGCATGTGGTACAACTGGTATAGCAATGTTATGAATGAAAATGACAGGATCATTATGAAGTGCGCGTTTCCGACAGAAATGAATGCATGAACTTTTAGAAGGTGAGAGGGTATGGCCATTATGATCACACCAGTCTAAAATTTTATTCACTGCTAACTGAAGTTGTCGCTCGATGATTCTCATGTCGGATCCCGAACATGAGATTTGTAGATCATCAACATATAGAGAGCCAAAGACAGCAGGTTGCAGTACGTTTAAAACTAGTGAAATATGAACGATGAACAATATGACACTTAGCACACTGCCCTGGGGAACACCCTCAGCCTGAATATATAGGTCAGAAAAGTTGGATCCAAGCTTAACACGAAAATAGCGTCGGAGCAAGAAATTTTTTATGAAAATTGGCAAACGACCACGGAGACCCATATCAAACAGTGCCTTCAGAATTCCATATCTCCAGGTCCGATCATAGGCTTTCTCGATATCAAAAAAGATAGAGACTAGATGATTGCGCCGGACAAAAGCATTGCGAATTCTAGACTCAAGAGCAACGATGTTATCAACTGTGGATCTTCCCTTACGAAAACCACTCTGAAAGTTTGGTATGAGGCGCTTTTTTTCAAGGTAATGCACAAGGCGCGCGTTAACCATACGCTCAAGCGTTTTACCAAGACAGCTGGTTAGTGCTATAGGGCGATAGTTAATGGGCTCTTTTGGATCTTTTCCTTGCTTTAATATGGGTATTACAATGGCTTCACGCCAACTCGACGGGTACATCTGCTCTGTCCATATTCTGTTGAATAGGGCAAGAATATTCTTTAAAGACCTCGTGTCCAAGTGGCGGAGCATTTTATATGTAATCCCATCAGGACCTGGACTTGTGTTGGAAGATCTAAACAGTGCTCTCTTTAGTTCAGGAAGGGTGAAAGTACAATTGTATGATGTGAATTGGCGGCTGTTAAAATTAATAGATTGGCTTTCAGCGTTACTTTTGTGTAGTTGAAATGTTGTGCTATAATTGTCTGGACTTGAGGTAGCTGCAAATGTTTCGCCTAAAATGTTACATACCTCAATGGGAGACGAGTATTTGATGCCGTTTATCTCAAACACTGGATAATGAAAGTCCCGGTAAATACCATTTGCTCTCTTTACTCTTGACCAGACTTGGGTCGGAGATGTCGACGATGTAATAGAGGAAACATATCTCGACCAACTATCTCTCTGACTCTTACGTCGGACCTTGCGGGCAAAGGCTTTAGCTCGTTTAAAAGCTAGAAGATTCGTTGTTGTTGGGGTACGGCGGAAGATGTTCCAAAGGCGTCTTTGATCTTTATAAGCAGTGGCACATTCCTCATTCCACCAAGGCTTGCGATGGCGGGGAGGTGAAGTGGAGGTCTTTGGTATACTCTCTTCAGCTGCGTGTATAATTACAGACGTAACATTATCAACAGTTGTATTTATAGTATTAGAGGTAACGAGGGAATCAGTGATCTGTGCAAGTTTAGTAAACAAACTCCAGTTAGCGCGATGATAGATGAATACTGGTGGTCTAGGAGTAATAGGTGCAGTAGCAGAATATGAAACAACGAGGGGAAAGTGATCACTGTTGTGTAAGTCATTGTCTACAGAAAATTTAGTAAAAGGTAAGAGGTCTGATGAGCAGAAAGCCAAATCAATGGAATGGAATGTTCGTGTGGGCGCATGAAAGTATGTTTCTTCGCCTTGGTTTAGCAGGCAAAGGTCATGGTCTTCAATGAGTTTTTCGATTTTCCGACCCCGATCATTGGAGTCAGAACTGCCCCACAATACACTATGGCCATTAAAATCTCCTAATAAAATGTGAGGCTTAGGTAATTGATTAATCAAGCAATTCAAATCAGTTTGTGAAATCAAGTCATTAGGTGGTAAATAAATGGAACATATGGTGATGAGAACATTGATCTGAATCTGAATAGCAATAGCCAGTAATGAGGTTGTCAATGGAATGCTAATGAAAGGTAAGTTATTTGTAGCTCCAAAATGAAAAGTAGGCTGTTTGGTAGATGTTAGAGCGAAAGGAGTATCAGTTTGTGTGCTGACAGAGCAGTAGGTTGCTTTTACAGCTGCAGAATAGGATACGCCCGGACGGGGAGTTCGAGCGGTAACCATTCGCCTTGCTTCATTAAAAGTCAAATTTTGCATGACTTTGATGGTCTGAATTTCTTTTTCTTGCGACCATTTTGGACAATTTCTGGAGTAGGCCGCATGATCACCCTTGCAATTGATGCAAAGGGGCGGTAACTCACAGGAAGTATCGTCATGGCCACAACCAGAACAGCGAGCACAAATGGGTGTGCTACGACAAGAGGCCTTTGAGTGACCAAACCTTTGACACTGGAAACATCTCAAAGGGTTTGGCACGTATGGTCTAACCGGACAGTTATACCAGGCAAGCTTGACTTCAGATGGCAACTTCGGAGTAGCGAAAGTAAGAATGAGATGTTTCGTGGGAACGAGTATTTTGGTTTAAAAAAAGTATCTTAACAACAAATTGTAGATGTGTCTCAGAGTATCGGAGATACTTTATTCCTAAATTGAGCCCATAGCTACGAGTCAGAAAGTGTGTATGATAATAATTTTTATTATCATCTAAATTAAACATTAATACAGTAGCCATAAAGTTATGATGCTTAATGTCTATGGATGTCAGACTATGGATGTCAGCTATAGAATGTAATAAATATATTAAATAGTAAAGTTGTTATTGCAAATATCTACTTGAAAAAGGTTGTATGAATCAATTATTCAAATCAATTATCAATTCAAAAATAAGATAAACATTACTATAAAACAAGCTTCAGCTTTTTTCTTCTTCCTAAACTCACTAGGAGGACTTTCTGAAGATGAGGAGGGCTCAGGAACGGGAGCTATTAAAATAAGCAAAACCAAATGAAATTTTTACATTGGCTAATCAATAATCACTAATGGACAGAGTTAAACTTACAAGGAGCAAGACATTTCTCTGGTTTAGGTTTTGACTTCTCAACAGGGCTGGATTGTGCTGGGGCATCTTTTTCTGGTTCCTTGTTGCTCTTAACAGGTAACTTTACATTTTTTGATTTCTTAGATTTCCTAAAAATATATATCATTGCATCATAAAATATGTCAGTTATTATATTTTTATATAAATATGTACACATCATTTTTTTATCAACATGTTTTTGAATTGTGAGTGCATCTTACACATTAGTCAATGAAATGCATATTCAAGTGTTAGTTTTAGAAATAAAAAAAGGATTTCCAACAAAAAAGAAATTTTAAAAAATTCAACTGATAAATCAGAAAATTGCTTGTTGTACATCATTTTATATAGAAATTCAGAAACTCTTAGTCACTACTTATCTTTTATTTAAGTCTGAAAGATAAATTAGTTAACCAAAATGATGGCAATTTATCAGTTATTTGTCTCTATTCAATAACTTTTTCATCAATATGTCTAAATGACTTTAAATAAGGATAGATTTGCACATTTTTACGAATTTTTTATAACATTTATATTTTATAGCAATGTTGACATATTTCTTGCTAAGTTTAAGATAATGGAGAAAGCTTTGTGAGCAATTTACTGCAGCTATAAAAATTGCATAGTCATAAATTTACAGTTAATGAAAATCAACCTGTTTTGCACACATAAAGATATCCGAAAATCATATACCAAATCTCCAACACTCAAAAATTATACTGTAAATACAATAATTCTTTATTATTTCAAACAAACAATAGAACAATAAAAGCATTGACGAAAACAGGAAACTTTCTCAGAATAAAAATACCTTTTGTTTAATGAAGACAGATTTTTAACTTTTCAAACATAGGAGTAGCGTCAGTCAGAAATATTTAAATTATTTAGTTGACAGAGCAACTGAAAATTTAGGCCACTCAAGATTCTTAAATTTTGCATTTTCCAAATATCTTTAAAGCTAAACAACAAAGCACCAGCTACAGTAAATAATGTCAAGCCAAAAACAGTTTAATTAAATTTAATAATAATTAAAAAAATAACTATATGAATAGAAATTTTCACATCACGTTAAGATATAAAATTCTAAAAAAGTTTGGCAGTTCCTTAAGAATAAAGTTATTTAAACACAAAATAAAACTTTTTTTAAACATGTTTTGTCAAAATTTGTAGGTCAACAAAGTAATCAGAATATTTAAAATATTCCCCACAAACCATTAAACTAAGAGCTTAGTACCTGAAAATCTGTACCTTATATCAAAAATTATAAAGGGTGATCATTTTTATGTAATAAAGTATGTTTGATATCCCCCTCAGTGATAAAAAAAAAACAATATTTGCAAGAAATTTCTAGAACACAAATGCCAACTATGTCATATTTAATTCAACAAGTATATTGTTCTCTAAAGCATCTACACTAGTAAACTCCCTCCCCCTTCACACTTTAAAAATGTATTTAAATACACAAAAAGACATTTATAATTATTACAGTTAAAACAACTGAAATACCACCCACATAAGAAACATACATTATTTTAAATGAATACCAATGGAAAAAACAATACCATAAACAATGTGTACATATTCATATAATAGTATGTGTAACATAGAATGTAAGAATAATTTTGTTTAGAAAAACATGTACATGTGTGTTCTGGTTAGCTCCTTCTGTTTTTGCAAATTTGCATCATTATATTTCAAGACTCTGCATTCAGGCACCCATTCATCCCAGCTGAAATAAAACAATAAAATATAAAAATGCTGAAAACATATATTTCATCATAAAACATATGCTTTATGGAAAACAAAGAAAAGTCAGAACAATTTTTAGATTAAATATGGTTGTCGACACTGTTTTATTTTAAATTATACTAAATATAGTACTAGTATCTAGACAGAAAAGTCAAAACAATTTTTAGATTAAATATGGTTATTGACACAGTTTTATTTGAAATTATACCAAATATACTTAGGTAACTAGACAGTTAAATTAGCATTACGTTCACTATTAGTTGGTATGAATATGAAAGAGGAAAATATTAACAGAAAGCCGTTTAGATTAGAAATACCAAATAATTTTACAGTTTTGAAACATTTAATAATATTTAATACATGAGGCACATTATTGTAACATGAGGTAGCAAGAAAAGTTGTAAAAAAATTAGCAAACAGAATTTAATATATAAAAACTGTACATTTATTGGAAAACATGTGGACAACTTTTTATGAAATAAATTTGAAATATAATAATTAAATGGACTTGAGTAAATAAATTATTAACCCAGTGGAAACAATAAGAAATGTCCCTCAATAGAAAGAAAGTTATAAAACTTTAAATTATAGCTCCCATACACAAAAATGCATTTCGAAAATGCGAACAATTTTTATTCTAAATTCTTAAGGGTTCATGCTCAAAACTAAGAAATTTTATTCGAAAATTTTCCAGGTAAATTTCCGTAACATTTTTTTTTTTTTTTTTTAAATTTGACAAAATTTATATTTATTAAAAATTTAAATTAGAATCATAAATGAAATCGCATTTCTAAGAAAGCATCAATAAATTATTTTATTTTTAAAAAATCAAGTGATTTAAACTATGCCAACTCTGATTACACATAATAAATAGTCAGAACTATAAAAGTAACTGAAAGAGAAAATAAGTGAAACGGAATTGACGGGACAAAATTTTTTTTTAAAAATTCTACTTTTGAGAAGAACAAAGTTGTTGTACATACTTAATGACACAAAAATGTGTTTTTTTTTTTTTATCTTCTATTGTACAAGCGCAAATTAGGTTTGAAAACAGAAGAGTGAAATCTCCCAATTTGATAAGGTGCGGAATTCCCTGACAACTCCCGGTTTTGGGGTAAAATTATATTTTCCCCTAACAAATCCTTGACTTTTTTCAAGTCTCATTTTCCCTGACAATTCTCGGTTTTCCAGATATTCCTGGTTAGTACTAAACCTAGTTCTCATGTGTTTATTTAGAAAATGAGGTTTTACTTAAGATTAAATAAAAATATAAGAGATATAAAGAAATACTTTGAAAAAGCAAAAGTTTTTTTGAAAATTAATAATATTATTTTAAAATTCTAGATACAATCTATTTTCTTAAAAAACACTAATTAAATTTTATATTTGTTCATTTTAAACATGGTTTTATAAATAGTTCAAAATTTGATGTACATAATCTAAAATTTATGTTGGTTTAAAATTTTTTAAAGTTAAAATTTTGATGCACATAATCCACATGGTTTCTAATAAAAAAAAGCAGACTGTTTGCATATGCAAATGACTTGTCACTTTGCATTAACAAAATTAAATAGTTGAGTATGTCTGAAAAAATTACTTACTTCTTATTCCAACCACTGTAGTGTATGAAATATTTCATATGTTTATCTCGTAATTGTGACTTTAGACACTAAAAAATTAAAATATGAAGGGTTTAGAAAAGGTGAGGAAAATAAGAAATTCAAACTTTTATTTTAAAAGTTTATATCACCTTAGCTTCATATAGCAAAGGTCCATGAAAGCAAAGTACTTTTTCACCTGTGAAAATAAGTACTGATGATTATCTACAATAATAATGAACTGTTACATGTCAACAGCATTTCTTATCTACACTGCGCATAGCAGAATAATTCAGGCAATAAAATATTGTAAAATAAACAATAATCTTGCTCTGGAAACTCAAATATATTGCTATTTTGCATAGTAAAAAATTTATTAAATCTTTACTAGTTTTTGTATTAAAAGAAACAAAAATTCATTTATCACTGTTTACCTACAAGTAATGAGACAAAGGTAAATGAGTTTTTCTAACTTACCTTCCAAACAAATGCTTTAAAAATTAGACACCTTTATGAAAAAAAAATCTTTGATATTCTTTGCTATTTTATGTACTTAATTTTACAGTACTTTCAAAAAATGACCATAAACATGAAACAAATCTATAAAATAAACTTTAAGAAAACCAAAATAAATGTTAATAGCTCACAAAATCTAGTTTTAATACTAATTCTTAAAATATACTATCCTCAGTGTCGGTGGGAATAGTTCACTCAAAAAAATTAGAACAGTGTTGATTTTTGTCAAATTAGAAGTGATATTCAAAAATAATAAACACAAAGAAAGGGAAGAAATTAATTTATTATAAAATCAGATGTTAGTATTTAAAATAAATTCTCCTACAAATGCGAGCTTTCAAGCTTTAAAAATAATTTTATTTTTAAAAGTTTTGGAATTGGCCATGAAATAGAACATGGCCATTAAGAATATGAAGTTTGATAGATAGAAGCCTAAGATAGATTATAACAATCAAAAATTGTTTCATTAGTGGAGTTCATGATGAAAGAAAGCAAAAATATTTTAGTTATTCCTAAATTGTCTCAACAAGAAAATGAATTATACCATGATGCAAACCATAATATAGTGCTTTTACCTAGGGGGATGTAATTTACTTAATATAGCATAGCATGCGAAGAATATGCCAAAAATAAAAGTTGTGAGAAAATCTAACACAATAGACAGTGTCACTAAATTATATATCACTGATAAGAGTTGTTCAATCCTTTCTTAATCTTATCCTTCTTAAGTTAATCCTTTCATTTCTCAATACGAGCTTAACCATGTTCTCAAAAGCGATTATTTATTTCCTTTTGTAACCATCTAAAATCAAACTCTGTGTGCTGTTCTCAAATAGGTTGAAAATTCAACAGTTTTAAGAAAAAAAATCAAATCTCGAATTTTAAATGGTTAGCATATCAGTGTTTTCACTTCGCATTCTATAAATCAATTTCAAAATTCGCGAATTTCTCTCACTTTGGAAAAAGCTTCGCATTACGCTATTTAGAATAAAATTTGTTTCACTTTTCTTCCTGGATCTTTCATTATTTTCACCATCTGCTCGCATATTTTTTCTTTCCTCGCATTAAAAAATTATTACCGCGAGAAATTTGCGCATTCTATAAATCAATTTCAAAATTCGCAAATTTCTCTCATTTTGGAAAAAGATTCGCATTACGCTATTTAGAATAAAAAATTTTTCACTTTTCTTCCTGGATCTTTCATTATTTTCAAATCTGCCCCGTTTCATCTAGCTTCCCTATTTACCAGTATTGTTTAGAGCCTTTTCGAACAACAGAACACTACCCTTCCGAACCACTGAACCCCTTTCAGAACACATTTCTCTGCAACCACGTGTTTACCGTAGGTAAGGTTTCCTACTGTAAGACGCTCAAATTTTTTATGCATTAATGTAAGACGGACAAATACCTTATAAAAGCAAAATCTTCTATGATGATGCAGCAAAAATATTCAATGCTTTAAAAAATAGAAGACATTAAAAATGTATTATAAATTATAATTAAAGAAATGATTTTTTTTTTCAAGTCTATTTGTGTTTTTTTAGTTTTTAGAAATCTCACTTAACTTTTTGAAATCTCACCCTGTTTTTGAGAAAGGGTGAGAAATTCTCATCCATTTTTTTTCTATGATGAAAACACTGTATATACAGTGCTCAAAATAAAAAAGATACCATCCTGAATAATCTTGTTTTAACGATTCCTTAAATATGCTAATTAGTTAGTGCTAACTATTAATTAAGTTACAAAATCAGTGATAAAAAGTCTTTCTTTAAATAAACACTTTTTGTAACATATTTGAACTTCTTGCCATTAATATATATGGGAGTAGTAGCAATCTGAAAATTATAATCAGTAGTTTAGTCTAAAGAGCAGTCGCAAATTTGGATACCTTAATGTTAATATCAGTATTTGCATATTTATTTTGCCATATTTTGGATTTTTTTTTTTAAGCAAACAAATCTTTTTTCCATACAATAATCTATGTTTATCCAAAGAAATTTAAATGCAAAAAAAATATTTAATAACTATTTAAAATTTTTCATTTTACATATAATTGTTAAATTGTAAGGTCAAAAAAAATTATACATCATTTCAAATTATGTAAATGAAAAAATAACACAAAATTAGTCAAATAATTTTTGAGAAATAGAATTTAAAAAAGGGACATTTCTAAAACTCATAAAATTATGGAGCCAATTTTGCTCATTCAAATAGAAAAATTTTCAGCCAATTGTCATTCAAAATTACATGTAAAAATTTACATGTCCTACAATTCAAAATTTTATTGACTCTCAATAAATAAATAATAACAAAATATACAAAAATAAATTTTATACATGGAATTATTTTTGAATCAACGAATTTTATAATTGTGAGCAAAAAAAATTTTATTTGCTTCAAAACTTCTGCTATATGGCTAAATACACAGTAAGAGAATTTAACATAACACTTTTGGCAGATATTCTGCGGAAATTATTAGGATAAATTTTCCAAATTGCAACTAACCCTCATATTTGAGCTGCGATGGTTCAGGGTATGGAGCGTTTGCCTTTCGATGAGATGAACGAGGTTAGAATCCTGCATCCAGCTCACGCTGAAAACAAAGCTGACGTGAAATATCCTCAGTAGTGGACGGATTGTGGGTTAGGGTCTCCTCAGCGTCAGGTAAACCATGGGAGGTTAGCCTGACACTGAGGGGTCTTCCTCTCTATGTAACCCAAATGTGGGTTAGTTCCATCAAAACATCCCCCACAAAGACAAATTTCTCCTAATACTTGGTCAAGGAGTTCTCTTGTCTTCTGGATTGGGTTCAAAATTGGAAGGCTATGGAGTTGAACATTAGAAGCCGTAAAACCCACATTTGGTCAGCTGTTCAACAAACCCTCATACTTAGGTAAATCAAAAATCCAATTCGGTTGATAAAAGAAATATAGAGAATAACGAAACAAAAAGTATAGAGAGTATTTATTCAGGGGAAGAAAAACATTTATGTCTGTGTCTGTAACTCCTTGCCTTAGTTAGCCTTGCCTCCTTAGTTACTCCTTGAATAGTTAGTACTAATTTATTAGCATATTTGAGGTCACCCTTTTCAAGTATTAAGATTGCACTTAGTTTGTGAAAATCTGATCGTTAAAAGAGTCATTTAAGGTAATATCATTTATATTTTGCATAGATAACTTATGATTTAAATACTTCAAATATAATTATGTTACTATAGGGCAAATTTTTTATACTGGTTTATTGTAACAGCTGCACCCCTAAAGCCAGCATGGGTTGTAAACAGGTTAACAACCTCATTATTAACCTATTATTCAGCCTTTTTAAGTCTTTTATCAAGAAATTAGCAATTAAATAAAATACCTTAAGCTATTAATTATTACTCAGAGGTAAAAAGAAAAACTGAAATATATTATTCGATTAAAAAATAAACGCTGAAAAATAAAAATTTTGATAAACAAAAAACAAAATCATACCATCAGTAAATCGAGGTTTTGGTGCCATTTTCTAAAAGACTGAGAAAACGTTTAATTTAGCAATTTAAAAAAATTTTCAATAAATCTTAAGGATCCTTGATTAGTAATTTTCATCTTATTGAATTTCTGTCTAAAATTACCAATGCTATCGCCCAACAGCACAATTTTTTGATAACATGCTATTAATGGAAAGTACACTTTTCAATAAATATTTAGGAATTCTAAGAACTAAATTTTTTTACTTCGGTTAAAATCTCGTTGGTTTAAGGTTTAAATCAACGGTTTAGTGTCCGAGGTGGTAAGGAGTGGTATTTGAGGCTTCGTTTTAAACCATATTTTTTGCTTATAGCTTACTACTAAGAAGTCAAACAAAATTAAAAAAGTAAAACAGTCAATGAACAAAAATAAGCAGTAGGAAAAGTATGCCATTTATTAGCATAAAAACCGGATATGACAGTTACACGAAGCCGTAGGTGTTATTAAGCGGCAAAACTGAATTGCTTAAAAAAATTAATACTTACGAAGTATTTTATTTAAGACATACATAGACATAACCTAATAATGGACAACTGGGATTTTGATTGCCCACAATTTGTGGATTTTGCAGCTGCTTTAAATAGTCCATCAGATGAGATTTTTCATGGTAAGTATCTAGTAAAAGGAGTTGGCTCAACGTCTATTGAATGTACTTTATCATTTCTTCTTTTTAAAAATTATTAAGCTTGTTACATTTCATTAATTTTGAAATGTATCCGCAATTGTTGGGATTTTGGCAAGTCTGGATAATAGGTAGTCAGAATAAACCACTAAACATGCGTTATTTAAAAATTAACGTTAAAACAAATGATTTGTAAATATTTTATTTAATTTAATTTATATTAATGTTTTGTTACTACGGTGTGCGAAGTTGCTTATTTTCGTTTTTAAAAAGCCCTTAGACTACCCTTTTCAATGGGTGTCTTTAAAAAGTTCATGTCGAAAATCATGTCATGTATGTAAAAACGTCGTTTTCACACTTCTATTGTTTTCACAATTGATTTAATACTAATCTTTTTTTGCGTACAGTTGGTCCGTGGTGTAAGAAAGTGTGAATAATTAGACATGTTTCATTAAATACTTGTGAGTGCTTATACTGAGCTGAATTCGATAGGAAGGATTATTGCGCTTTCATGCGAGATTCTTGATTTTAACATCATTTTTTGCAGTCTGAAATCAAACCGAAAAATCTCTCGAATTTTTGTTAATGGGGAACAACTAAACATTGCTAATTTTTTTTACTAATAGCAAAAAAACATTTTATTTCTCTTTTTAATTACATTGTTGGTGAAGCACTTTTGTCAATGATAAGCCAACTCCCACCCTTCTATTTATAAATCGGTACTTTAATCCTTAAACATGGGGTTCATTTGCTAATTACTTTCATGTGGTTAAAGAGAAATAACAATCACAAAGCTTCATCTCCTCAAAATTTTCAACTCCCTTTAATTTAATAAAGATAAGAGTTAGTTGAGATTTTTAAATGTAGGATTAACTACCCGAGGGACTATCCATTAAGTGCATTGAATCTTCTTACTGTTATTGTACTTTATTATGATTTTTTCACTCATTACTTTTAAAATTTTCAGTGCGCTTAACACTTTTTCTGTGGCAATGACTCTCCTCTGTCCCACCTTCTGCTCTTAAAAGTTCTCCCGCAGCATTGAAATTGGAAAGAAAAGCAGAAATTCCTTTAAAACTTGTTTATTTTATTTTTAAAAATAATTATCAACTGCAATCAATAACCATGTTCACTAGTACAACAACAAAACACTGTGAATAATCCTGGAAGACTAATTATCTCGGCCGTCCCGATGAAAGGGCTAAGTTGTAACATGCAAAAACTTCATATCTAGGGACAAGATTTAAAAAAAGTGTGAAGTGAGGAGCTTTCACTATTTTAAAGGCTGCAAAAAAGTCCTATATTCAGATTTGTCATTAAAGTTTTCTTAGTTTGCTCAATTGTTTACACGTCTTTATGTATTCAGTATTGTCAATAATTATAATCTTGCTAATGTTTTGTTTAATATGCTTTCATAAATAACTTTAATTTAAATCTAAAAAGGACGATCAATAATTTTTTTCCTACTAGTTAAAATTTTGAGTTAAAATTAATTATTTTGCTTTTTTGCTTAAAGTAATTATTAATTTAAAAAATAGAATAAGCCACTCAATATGGAATATATTTAAAATTGGGCATAAATTATTTTTATGATAGCTAATATAATCAATAAAAGAGTTCTTTTTAAGAATCTTGTTATTTTACATAGTTTTTGAAAATTATTCTGCATTTTGTTAATATATATTAACAAGATTCAAAATAAATTTCAATATTTTGTACATATATGTGTGTGTGTGTCTAAATATGAACTTTCAACAATGAGAAGGGGAAAAAAATATTTGTGCATTATTTATTTTTACTCAATTAATTATTACTATAATTATTATAATTACCAAAAGATTATTTATTTTACCCAACTTCTGTGTTTTACATTATGCTCTATTGTATTTTTTTAGAAATATAATATCACAAAAGCAATATCAGAGGTATTGATTGCTACAGCATTTCAATTAAAATGAAAAAAGTTTGCATATTTGTTTTTATTTTCTCATGTTGAAAGATTAATGCTGCCTAAACAATCATTTTGGTTTCAAGACTCAAAATTTCTCATATTTTGAGGAATTTGTGGATTTAAATTGAATTTGTCAGAGTATTGCACATCATAATGTGATTATTCGGAATTTGTAATAGTGTTCTATCAAAAACGCAATTCAAATTTTAAAAAGCATATGAAAGTCCTTAGCAATATCAGTTGAAACTTCAGTTGACAAAACCATGTGGATTTACAATAAAATTGTCGCCTATTGTTTGCATCGAAGTGTTTCTCGTAATTAACCATATAAAACAATAGAGCATTAAAAATTTGAGATTTTTTTTTTTAAAAAACAAGAATGTGAGAATTGGTAGCAATAACTGTTGAAAATGCTATTGCAAAACTGTATTTATAATGAAATGTTTAAAAGCGTTTAATTTATTTTTTAATAAAATAAATTATCCTTAGTGTTTCAATCTTATTTATAATTTTTATTTACATTCTAATTAAATATAAATGTTAAATTTTTTTTTTTTTTTTAATCTTGAACTTTTGCACCTGGAAAATCTACCTTTTTGCGTAGATGTTTTATGGACAGTAAATGTTCTTGAAATACTCTGCATCTAAAATATATTAGATATCATATCATGTAATAGTTGCATAAAATATACTACATTTCTTATGTTGATGGCTATATTAAAAGAAGCAATTGTTAATTTTTTTTTCCTTCAACTTTTTTGAAGAAAGCAAATAATGTGAAAAAATATCTTTCAGATGTAGCGAGTGATGTGCAAGAGGCTGCCAACTTTGAAAGGTAAATGTTATTTTTATTAAGGCATCTAAATACAAAAAAAAATTTCTGGTGAAAGTCATCATTGTTAAAGATTTGGAGAAAAAAAAACTTTTATTTTACTTTATGCTATTAGTGTTTTATTGTATCATAAAATAAAATAGAAGCTTTTTTTACTAAATTTAACTTTAAGATATTTATGCGTTTTCTTAATATTTCAAATAAAAAAAAGTGAAAACTTGGTCTTGGTTCTCAAAAGGTGCTTCATCAGTAAGGGTAAGTGTAAGGAATCATTTAAGCCAGAAGTTGCTGGTAATCTTAAAAGCAATACTTGCGTTGCAATTCACACTTCCTAGAGCTATGCGTGACATTGCCTAGATGTTTTCAGTCCCATTCTGGCAATTCCTCTCAGCAGAAAGTTTGCTGGCCATTTCGAATCTCAACTTCTTGACCATGGTTGACATATTTGTTTAATCAATAGAGCTATGTTTGAAGGCTTCCCTTTTTCATAAATTGGTGCGAGGAGAGAGACAACTACACAAAAGAATTAAATATTGATTATAGTATTTATATGAAGGATTAATTTACATATTACAGAGTTCTCTCTAGGAACAAAAAAGGGCTGAGCGCTTCCTCACAGAAAAGGGCACTTTGAGTTTTGAAAGGGTACTTGACACACACTTAACATCGTAAAAATTTATTAATGTGTAATATTATGTAATGACTGAATTTGATCCTTAACAATTTATAAATTACCCTCTTATACTATTTTATGCGTGTATTTCACAGGGGTGATTGTATTCCGGTTGTACCCCAGAAAACCAGGTTTTTCGTATCCTCCTGCCGGGTCTAAAAGCTAGGAACAAGACCATTGATTCTTGGACTGCCACTAGTCAAAAACTTATAATCTGGCAAATTTTTTCGGGGGCTCTTCAATCTAAAATGTAAATTTTGAAATTTTTGTTAAATTCTGTTAACGAGACGTTTATGTTCATGTAATTCTTGCCAGTTGGCGGAGATCCACCAATTTGATTCCTTTGTTTTGACAGATTTAGAACTGTGCTGAAATTCGTATACATCGTGGTTCATATTCGCTTATTATTTCAATAAACTTAATCGAACAACGATTTTCGTATTCAGCTGATTTTAAAGTTGCGTGTTTCCATCCGTATTCACGTGATTTAAAAATATTCTAATTCGCATGATTTTAAAATCCAATATTGTTATTTTTAAGAGCTAAATTTTTTCTCAAAATAGTTATTATAAAAGTCAGGGTTTTTAAAGGTGCTTATTTTGGATTTTCGTTTTTTAAAAGCCCTTAAATGTGCTTTTTGTCATTGGGTGTTATTAAAAAGTGCTTAATTTTCTCTTTTCCAAAATGAGATTTTTGCATGAGAAGTGCTTTCAAATATTTTTGAGTGCTTAAAAGGTGCTTAATTTTTGTTGAAAAATTTGGCTACGCACCCTTTTCGAAAATGAGATTTTTTTTTTTTTTTTCCTTTGCCATGTTGATTTTCGCAGCATATTATTCGAAACATTTTCAAATTGTTCTATTCAAAGTTTTTACGAATTATTCAAACACAAAGCATTTCAGCGTATAGTAGTTCCATAACGTATAAAAGCGCCTATCATTTTAAAAGTTTGATGAAATGCTTGCGGGTCTGTGTGTGCATATACTGAGCTGGATTCAGTGGGAATTATTCTTGCACTATCATGTGCAACTCGGCTGCATTTTGCCAGAGAGTCACAATTTTCGGCTTCAATTTCCCCATTCTGAAATCGAACCGAAAAATCTTTATATTTTTATGGTGGCTAATGTAGTCAAGAGTTCTTTGTCAGAAACTAGTTATTTTATCATGATCATGTAAAGTCTTTGAAAATTTTGCATTTTGTTAATGTATATAGAAATATTTTTTAAGTGCTTTAAAGGTGCTTTTTTTATGATTTGTCTACGCACCCTGATCTCTATGTTCTGCATAATCTTTAGCTTTACTATATGAATGTTATTTTAACATATAAAAATTATTTTCTATTACCTATTTAAAATTGCTCATCCAAAAGTTAACAATTAAGTTTCCAAAAAAAATAATTAATAATTACTATTTCCTATCTGTGGATAATTATTAAGTCATAATATTATGTTATTAGATTGTGTATAATTTTGCCTAATTTTATTACAGTAATAATTTGGGACCTAAAGTGGCAACTCCAAAAATTAAACCAAATGATCCTTTGAAAAACTTTCCTTTCATCAACTTTTCTACTGATGATGAAAAATTAGCTACTTTGTCCAAATTACCTGCACGGTTATCAAAAAGTGATGGACATCTCAATCAAATTAAAGAATCAATCAAGTCTCCTGATGATAAAGAAAACCCCAGAACAGACAAAAACAAAAGGAGGACAAGTTTCCCAATGAACTACATTAGAAAGAGAAGAGTATGCCCCAAAACTCCTAACTGCTTGAAGTAAGGAGAAATTTTTCTTTCTTGATATTGTGTGTGTGTATATATATATATATATTTTTTAATTTTTCTGTATTTATTCAAATATTATAAAAGATTTTTCCAAACTTATAATTAAGGAAGGAATCTTAAGGATTAATTTTATATTATAAAACATAGTTTTCAAGACCGTTTAATATTTTTGGCTTGTGCAAATTTTATGATTATTTTCCACTCTTGCTGTGAAATATTTTGATGCATTTAAGTTACTTGTGTTTTAGAATATTAAAAGACAGGGGCCACGCTAAGCATTTGCCACCTCTCAAAATCCAGGGTTGCAAAAAGCCCACCTACCTAGTTAAACCCGGTCAAGTTTTACTGGGTAAAACTCGCCCTAAAGTGGGTTTTTTCTGAAATTTATTTCTTTTTTATCTTCTGTTATATTAATAGTATAGGGGTAGCGCTTCATGCTCCCGTGCCACGGGTCGTGGGTTCGTTCCTCGGGCCAGGCAAAGTTGACTCAGCCTTTCATCCCTTTAGTGAGTCAATAAATGAGTAACAAGCATGCTTGGGAACTAAGCACTGGGAGTTCCGCAATCGGCTGACCACCTGACCGGAACATCTGCTCCTGCACCCTCATTAGACAACGAACTCTTAGTTAGTGATAAGTTTTAATTTTTGTTAGATTATTTTATTTCATATTTAAATAGATTTACTGTAAATTTATACCATTATATTCTTATGACAATTTACTGTAATTATTGTTCACACTGGGTTTTTTTTTTTTCTTTTAATTCAAAAAATTATAAAATAACTTGATTTTCAATATAAAAAAAGTACTGTATTTCAAAAATTTTCTTTTGAATTTTCTACACAATGAACACTAGTCCTAATTTTTTCCAAATTTTGAACTAGTGGCATTCTTGATACAAAAAAAAATTTATTGGTCATAAGTTTTGTATAGCAGGAAATTTTAAGTACATTTTATTTGAAAAAATGCTTAAAGAGTTAAAATTCAGACAACTATTTGATATAAATGTGATGTTATGTTATTTGTCAATAGATTCCACTAAATTTACTATGCTATTCACCTGTAATTTGTTTTCATTGGATGTATTTATTTATTTTTAATCTATTACAAATTGGATTTTAGGCGAACTTTGAATACCAAATCCAAAGGTGCAAAAACATCTGAAGAACTGGAATTGCAAAAAATTGCTGAGCTTCAAAATATGCTCCACAAACATCTAAGATTGAACAAAATAAATTTGAAAAGACTGAAAAATAATAAGGTCTGTATTTTTAATGTTGTCGCTTTTTGTGTATAGAACTAAATTAAACAGTAGTCCATGTACATATCTTTAATTTGAAACTAAACTTTTGTCTTTCAAAAATATATTATCATGACTGGTTCTAAAACCATATGATATTGTTTATCTTAGCTTAGTGCTGAACATCCGTCTTTAAAATATATAAATATCCATAAAAAATCTTTTAATGTATGTGTTTAAACAGAAAGTTATGCATCCAGACTACAGTTTTATTGAAATAATTTTATATAAACATAATGTTTTGAAAATCAATACAAGTGTACTTTATAAAGTGTTAAAAGTGTACTTTATAAAGTGTTAAAAGTGTACTTTATAAAGTATTAAAAGGGTGTACTTTATAAAGTATTAAAAGAGTGTACTTATTAAATTTAGGTAATGTATCAGATTTGCTACTTTTATACTGAATATAAATTGTTTAAATCTTTTATGTAGTAAAATTTTGTTTAATTAAAGTTCAAATATTGAATAATTGTTCGACACCTTGAATTTGTACTTCTACATTTTTAGTGTTATAATTTGAGTTTTGAAAAAATTATGGAAATTAAACTCATGTTTGTGAAAATTGCAACACCATGAAGGAATCGTCATAATTAAATGATATTTAATACACAGCTGACTAGTAGTAGTACAAATAAATGATTAAATTTTCAAAGCAAACAAACAATAACAAGAGATCAAAATCAGTATTTTGTGTAACCACCACGCGCCGCAATAAGTGCTGTTACACGACGTGGCATGGAGTCAAACAAATTTTGAATATCTGCCTGAGGAAGAGCATTTCATATTGTTCGTGTGCGTACCCAAAGTTCGTCTGTAGAAGCAACAGGACGATGATCACGAGTGAGACGCCGACCAGCGAAATCCCACACATGTTCAATCGGCGATATATCCGGGGAATGCGCAGGCGAAGGAAGAAGCTGTACCTGCCGCGATGCTAAGAAGGATTGCACAGTCCTAGCAATATGAGGGCGGGCATTGTCCTGTTGAAATACAGCACCTGGCAAGGCTTGAAGGAAGGGAACAGCTTGGGGCTGTAGAACTTCACTGATGTACCGGTTGCTGTTCAGATTACCCACAATTCGTAGCAATTGAGATCGTCCATGTTATGCTATGGCACCCCAGACCATAACTCCGGGTGTTCGTCCACTGTGGCGTTCGATGACACACTCCGGAAGGTGGCGTTCACCGGCATAGCGTCTGACACGAATGCAGCCATCATGGTACTACAAATTAAACCGGGATTCGTCAGAAATCACGACATGCTGCCAGTCCCTATGCTGGTTGGCCCATTGCAGCCGCAGGCGGCGATGGTTTAGCGTGAGGGGGATACTGTATTGTTATATATTAATTTTCATCGGTACATAAATTTTTATAAACAAAAAAAAAAATCGAGACATCACAAACCATTATTTGAATTATTAAAAGTATTTTTATTTTATTTTTAATGTTTTTAATCTGTTTTGTACAATCGGCTGGTGGCTGGGTCGCGTCCACGCGACTTTTCCCCATCAAGCAGTAAATGGCTGAAGAGGAGTGACGTAATGATATGAGAGCCTATCAGAGGGCGCTGTTTTTCTCCCTCCTTTTTTTCGAATCTTCGACACAGAGCGTGTTAGCCAGTCTCTTAATTTTTTTTCTTCAAGGTAGTAGGTGTCTTTTTCTAGGTAGACGTTTTAGGGCTACTAGGCCCTGGATCCAGGGACCGGATGACCGATAAGTACCTTTTAAATTGGCGTATTAAATTAGTAATTAATTTTAGTTTATTGATTAGAAATCCGTCTTAAATTAACAATGTCAAAAATTGTTATAATATTAAATTAACTTAAAATAGATGCTTAAATATCTAATAACTCCGCTAATCTTAAACCACGTGCGAGATGATTTTTTTTTTTTAAAACCCAGCCAAATTTTTTATAAATTGTTAAATGAGTGAACTGTTATATGTCCATTAATATATTTTAAATTGTTATAACATTTTGAATTTAAATTGAAGGTGCACCGAATTTTTTTAATATAATTTGTTCAAATTGTTGTTTAACGAAGACACTATATTTGTATAAGTGCAAATACATTGTAATCAAGATTTAAGTTTAAATACATCTTTGTTTTTAAAAGTTAATTTAGTCTTTAATTTTGACTATGTCTCATGCTGTTTCTTTGGGTAGAGATAATGTAGTACACGTGCAGTTTCACAAACATGAGTTTAGTTAGAAACGTTTCAAAATTTCTTGTGTTCTCTTTTATTCCAACTTATTTATTGTTAAAAATGCAAAGTGTCACGTTTGGCTTCTGAGCTGCATGTTTTGAACTCCTGCATTTCGAATAATATATTCAGAGTTCACCCTAGGAGCAAAAAGGGCAGGGTGTTTCCTCACAGAAAGGCGCATTTTGAGAGGCACTCACCACCATTAAAGTTTATCAAAATGTGTAATTTTGTATAAAAATTAAATTTAATCCTCAATTTTTAAATTACCTACTTATACTTTTTATGTGTAAAGTTCACAAAGTAACTTTCATTCAGTATCAAAATAGCAAGAATTTGAAGCTTCTGAAAGATATTTAAAGGCAAGCGAAAAGATAATCTCTGTGTATAAATTTTCTTCAAAATCATATTTATCATATGCAAATTTTAATTATATAACTAGACAACATAAGAAAAGTCTATGGAATGAAACACAAAATTAAATAATTATGGGTAACTAAATAAATTAGAGGTGAACTTTTCTTTAAAACATATGGTTACGAAAACAATCATTTTCTGAAAAAATAAAATAAAAAAGATGTGTTAAGGGATGGCAGCTTATTTTTACAAAAAGCATTTATAAGACCAAAAGGCAGGCAGGGGTGGGCTGCCCTACTAATATTGCTTAGGTAATCTCAAATCAAAAATATCTCTACCTGTGAAATTATTATGCTGATGATATCTAAAAAGGCAAAAGTACATATTGTTTGTCATAGGAATTACTAATTTCCTAGCCTTTTTAATGCATTATTAAATTTTTATATTTAATCCTTCAATCTTCTACTCAATAAAAATAATCTTTAATATTTTTCCCATTTGTGCAGGAAAAAAAATATTTTTCTGCACAGCTGANTTTTTTTTTTTTTTTTTTTTTTTTTTTTTTTTTTTTTTTTTTTTTTTTTTTTTTTGCAAAATATTTTAGCTTTTAATACATTTACAAAAATATTGAATGTTTAAAAGGTTACTGTATTTGTTTGTTTTCAATAAAATTACCATTATTGATTTCTCACATTTTACTTATCATACTGATTTATATTTTAAAGTACTTGAACTAAAAAAAAAGGTTAAGTTATAGTTTTAACAACAATGTATAAATTTTGTTACAATGATTGATTTTAATTTTTTGGTCAGTGTTAATTAAAAATTGTGAATTTGTTGCATATACAAGAAATCAAATTCTGTGTCATTTAAAAAATGCCTTCCAGACCAATTTCTAAACACTAATCAATTTAGAGGAAGCTTAAAAATTATATTTTAAAATGTAAAACAAATATCATATATTTTTAAATTATGGAACAAATGACGTTACGAAAAATATGTCTTTGAATTTTTAAATAAATAAAAAGTGGTGGTTTTCCAGTTAGTCTACTGTCCCAGTACTCAACTATGCTTTTTAAAATAACAAGCAAAAGTTTTGGTTTTTAAATTTTTTGTGTTTGCTTGCAAAATGTGGTTTTACTTAAGGTAATGCAAAAATATTGGTAGTAAAGAAGGGGGTTTACAATGAAAAAATAAAACTTCCTAGTATATCTTCACAATTCTAAATAGAATCAAATTTTTTTTTTTTTTTAAATATTAAATATTTAAAATGTTTTCCTTTATTTACTTACTAGATTCATGCGAAAATTAAAATATTCTTCATTGTTTTTGTAAGGTTTAAGTGAAGGGACAGTGATTACATTTTAAAAGTGACTCGAAATGAAAAAAATGAATGAATTTTTCTACTGTGTGTCTTGAAGTTTTTTCAGGAATTACAAATATATATTTTTTTTTCCTCTGTGTATGTTAATATAAGCATTTTAGCAATTTTTTTTTAATTGTCTACAGCAAAACATGTTTTCTATGTCATTATCAAAATATTTTAGTTTTAATTAAGTTATTTAGCAAAGTTTATAATTTATAGGCACCTTTTACTATGGACAAGTTACCAAAAAAGGATGAATCTAAAGTTCCAAGCAAAAAAAACAGTAAGTTTCAAGATAAAAAACTCCTAAATTTTTACTTAGTTCAAAAATGAAAAACGAAAGATTTTATTTCATACTAATATCTACAAATGTTTAACATTTTTCTCTTAATATATTTTCTAAGTTGTTATGCTGGAAAATAGACGAGAGTTTCTCTGATTCTTTCTCAATGCTAATGTAGCTTTTTTTATGTGTTTATTTATACGTTGGTTCATATTTTGTATTACTTTGAAACTACTGCAATGTAAAGTAGCATAACTTTCAAAAATCTTGTTTGTAGAATATCTAATAAAATGTTATTTGGTCACGTAACAAAAAGTTAATGCCAACACTAATTTGTCTAAAAATTTACTTTATGTTCACTGTCCGTTAATCTTGTATTTTAATTTAAACCATTTTATTGATTATTTTTTTTGTTTTGTTACGTAGAACATTAAATTTTAATTTTTCTCTTTATAGATTTGTTTGCTGCCCCAAAACCTGCTCCTAAATCTGATAGGTATATCAGTTTTCACTTCTTTTCTCTTCATATAAGTCTTTTCCAAAATTTTATTATTTTTATTGTATTTAGAACATTTATTTTAGTTTTTTTTCTAAAGAATGTATTCTTTTTTTTTTCCATTATCTTACCATCTATATAAGTGTTTCGTTGGACCAAACTGATTCCAATTTTTCTGCAGTTGGAACTTCAACAAAAAAACAATAAAAGCAGAAATACTCTGGATTTTGAATTTTGCAGTACTCTATTATTCATTTTTTCCATGTGACTGAATTCGTGAAATCCTTTAGGGGAAAAGGAGCAAAGCTTACTGTCAGGAAAAAAATTTATGATATTTCCCCAGGATTAATAATTATTACTTGGTTTTAATATCCAATTATTACTCATTTTCTTGAAACTGTATTTTCTTTTCAATATTTTAGTTGATAAAAAAATAATCAAAGTTTATATGAATAAACATATGATTGTTTTAATTTTTTTTCCCCTTCCAAAGAAGCTGTAAAAATGAAAAAAAGAACTGGAAAAAATTATCCATAAAGCATTAAAAGAGATAATGTCTATTAGAAATGGTCTGTTAGATAATGTCTATTAGAACCTATTAAAGCTACACATTTCAGTTTTCCATTTGTTGTATTTTTTTGAAAAGTGAAGACTAAAGTCTAATAAAAACAGAAGTTTTTTTGAAAAAGAGAAAACTAGATAGAAATCAAAACAAAAATCATTCTTACTCTTTAAACGAAAGATTTATCCCTAAAAATCTTAATTTAACTTCATAAAAAAAAGTGACCTTAAGTGATAATAACATTCATTAAAAGGGCTCTTTAAAAATAACTGTCATAGAAGGAAAAGTTTTTAAAAAAATTGTCCATAGTTTTGAAGCATAACTTAAACATTGAGAATCTCAGTTTTCTATGTTTTTATTTATCTGTGTTACTGTACTAGATAATAATATAAAAGTTAAGTCTATTAGAAACACTATGATAACATGCTTTGCCTTAGCTAAATCAGAAAAACAAGTAAAAATGCAAACAAAAAAAGTTAATATTTTGAAATATGAAGTGTTGAAAAATGATGAAATTAACTTGCATGGATTTAATTTTTAAATTACAGGTCAATAGAAAGTAAATCTAGATTCAATTCTTTAAATTTCATTTTTCCATTTGTCTTTGAGAACATAAATTAACAAGTTTTAGAACTTAACAAATCTGTGAAAAAACTGTTCCCCTTTTATAGTTTGTTCAAAAATAATTTTCCAAATAATACTTTGCCGAATAATTTGACGTAAGGACCAAATAGTGACTGAATATTCATTACATCCCTCATATAAATGACGACTACGTATGTGTTTACATTTTTGATTTTATTTTTTAAAAGGATTTTAAATCTATAAAGTGTTGTCATTAGGGGTAGATGGAGTAAGATTACTGTAAATTGCTTATATGATACCTAATGACTCCAAACTTATGGACCCATAGTTTAAAAACTTTTGCTCTGAAACATGGTCAATTTTTTTTTATTTATTATTGAAATGATGATTTTATTTTTGCAAGAACTATAACAAAATTACATTTACCCATATTAATAGTTTTTAATACTGATTTTTATTATATTAAATGTGGGTTATCATTTTTCTTTTTTAATTTTCCCTAATTATTATTTTCCAGAAACTTTATTCGTGAAAATAACTTTGCTTGCCGTTCAGCAGTCTTCTCCCAAGGAGTAAAAGAAAACCTCAAGGTTTTGCAGTGTGAGGAAAAGCTAAATGCAGTCGCAAAGAAAAAAGCCCCTTCTAATGTTTTGCGGGACCGTAATGTTCTAAAAGAAGACTCTGGCAATGCTTTAAAAAAGCAGGTAATTATTCAATTGGGCTGACCTCAATAACTTTTCTATTTAATAAGTTATTATGTGATATCTTCTCACATTTTAGCCTTTGTTTGAAAAGTATGATGCTCATGGTGGGATTAAATTTTTACCTCATAAAGAAAAGACCCAGCTGTATCCTTTCAGCTTTGATACAAGTTATGCTTCCTCACATAACGAGAGTCCTCGGTCAGCTAATCTGAGCAAGGTGATTACTTACATTTTTTTAATGAATTTTTTAAAGTTCTGAGCACATGATCCAGTAGTAAAGTTAATCCAATAATAAAATTCTGTTTAGATCTTCTACTGTATTAGTATTGAACAATACCCAATTTTTAGAAAGAAATAAAAAATTCTATAACAATTGTTTATTCATCTAGAATTTAACTTTATCAAAAGTCAACAAATACTTCATAAATGATTGAAAACTATATTCTTTTCATTAATAAAATAAACTGTCCTAGAATTATTCCATCTTATATAACCAGAATAAATTGATGGATTATAAATACAGCTTTTAAAAAAACAAAATATATTTACTATTTGTCCAAAATTTAATTTGTTGAGCATTGAAATTATTATATATGACTTTTGGTAATTATATTTTAAGTGACTATAAAGTGAACAAATAAAATAAAATTGTAAATTTAAGTATCCAAGCCTTGTTAAAAGTAAATTGCTTTATTTTTTTAATAGATTTTGAAATTAATAAGACTAAAAGTTAACTTTTAATTTTTTTTGTTTTAAATTCTTATTTCTACCTGTGGGCAAAATTTTTTAAAATATTAAACTGTAATTACATAACTTTTATTGCATTTGAAAATAAAAGTTTTTTAAAAATTATACTAAAATAGGAATTTACACTTATTCGCCTGATTATTTAAGTGATCATAACATTCTTAAATAAAAAATATTCTTTCATTTCTCTTTAGTCAAATGGAATATTGAAAATTTTAAATTAATTTTTTTTTTATATGTGTCTGTTATTAATATTGCGAATAAACTCGATCATTGATGCTTATCAGATAGTACTTTTGAAACTCCCTTTTTAATTTTCTTTTTAGATGCAAAAGTCTTTGTCAGTGTCTAGAAACACACCATGTCTTTTGAATAACAAAGAAAATTTGGTGGTTAGTATTGTTTCGTGAATTCATTTCAATTTTCATTTGACATTTTTACGTATCAATTCTGAAATCTGTTCATATTTACAATTGATATGTTTATTTCTCTTTTTTTTTTTTCTCAATTCCTGTGTTTCATATTTTTGTAATACGATGTTTTCTTTACCAAACTTTCACCATCATGCAATCCAGCATGAATGTTGGAAGTTTAAGAAATTTTGTGAGTTAACACATGAAAACTATTCGATGATTCTCCGTTTACAACAAATTATACATCAAGTAATTTTGATGACCAAAAAGAAAAATTTTATCAATTGATAAACACATTCTTATTTATGTTATTTTGATGCAAAATAGAAAACTGTGATTAAAAAGTTTATGCAAATCAAATGATAGGGGAATGTCACTGAATCATACTAAGAGAAACTCCAACAACAAAAATATTTTTTTAAATCAGAATTTTAATTAGGGAAGTAAAATATAAAATTTATCTATAAGGTGTTTGAAATTCAGTAAAATTGTGTGCCGAAGTATGTAATTTTTTTTTTTTTTTTTTAAGCATTTAAATGTGTTGAGTTGTCATTGGTATTCTACAACTAGAAAAAAATAGCAAAATATTTATTTAAACCAACTGTCACAATATTACAGCGTATGCCAGTTAAAAGTCAAAAAAATAATAAAATTGCTGTAGAAAGCTGAAGCAGTTTTGTATTTTTGGCAAAATTACATGTGTACCATCCTTCTTTACTCTTCCTTTTATTAAACTCATTGTTTTAAAAATATTTTTCTTTTCTCCTTATTTAGAAAATTTCTATGTGTTATGTTTGATATTGTTCAATAGGACTTCGGATTAACTATGTCGAAGCAGTATACAGGGTTAATTAAAAATATTTTTCAAAGATACATACAAATCATGAACATAATGAGATGAATTGTATAAAACTTTATTGCCACAGGCATACTAAATTTTCACCTAACCAGGTAATTGAAGATGTAAGATGGGTCAAAGATAATGATAATTTATGACATATATGATTATACATATTTTTGTTTAAAAGAGCATTTAAAAGTAGGTTCTTGAAGTTGTAGCTGTAATGTGACAGATGCATTGATCAGTAACCAATCGTAAGAAGGCAATATTGAAGGAATGGTATGTAATCATAGTAGTGTTTGTGTTGCATTTGTGATGGTATATTTCTCTGATTCTTTGCTAGTTATCATTTTGCTAACCTACATTTGAAGAATAATTCTGAATTATCTTGTCCTTAGAATATGTACTGGAGTCACAAGGGGCTAAAAGAAATATTCCAGTTATTTATTTATTGGCAGTTCTTTCTATCATAACATAATACTCAAATTCGTAGTAAAAGCTTTATTTTTATTTGTCTGATTTTTCTAATTTAATAAACAATTATTCCTTAGACTAAGGCTGTTAATAATGACATTTACCTCTTAATTTTGTCCCCACTCTTTCAAATAAATAATCAACATCCATAATGTAACAATGCAACTGTGTTTTGTCTTTCTTTATATATTTATTTATTTATTTAATTTTGTAGTTTATAAAAGAAAAAGTGAATATTGTGCAAAATTGTTTATTTCATTTTTATTATTTTTTAGAAGTAAGGAAGATATCTCTAGAGTTGTAGTGTACAGAACCTTGGATCAACAATGTTATGAGTACTTTAAAAATTGCATCAAGATCCATTTTATGACTTTGAACATTTATTTGACGAATTATTTTGTATTTTTTTATGTATTTAGTGTCCTACTTTGGAATTGGTATTATTTGCTTTCATCCATCTCTGTATTTTGATGTATTTATTTCGTAAAATGTGTATATTTCGCTTTTTAAATTGTGTATATACTTAATATTGTATTTAAATTTGTTGTGATTCATAAAACTGATGCATGCTAGAATCTGAATAAAATAAAGTTTGAAATTTTTTAACCAACAAACTTCTGATTGATTTAAAATTGATTTGTTTCATTATAATTGTTAACATTATATTTTACTTATATAAGAATGTTTAAAATCTAAAACTTCTGATTCTTAATTACATTAGTTTTTATAAAACGAAATTAAAAATTCTCGAGTTATTTAAGCATGAAAGAACTTTTTGAAAATGTTGATTGAAGCATATGTAAGCCGTTAAGCATTTGCAAATATCTTTTTTTCTAAATTAATTATCTTGTGAAAAGTACAACTTAGTTACGAGTGATACTTTCAAATCATGAAAGAGATGCAATAAAGGAAAAGTTGTACAGCGCCAGCATGTCAGATGTAAAATCAGCATTGTTTAATTGCAAATCTTGGTCAAGCAGCGATACCTGGAAAAACATGAAATAAAATAAAGCTTTTTTCTAAACTGTCTTTATTCATATGGAAACCGTACTCAAAAAAGGTCTAAATTGGATCTTCAAATTATTATCTGATATTGCACATACAAAGATATAAAATCGACACAAGAATATTCAAAGGCCATGAAAACCACAAATTTAGTTTTTCATTCTTCAATACACTGTTTAAATTTTTAGTTTGAGTAATTTTTTTTAAATAACTAAAGAAGTAAGTAATATCTTTCCTTTCACTATGCAATGTATGTCAAGCGAATAAAAGAAAAATCCATACGAAGAAGTCCGAAAAATTAATTCTAATGTCTGTTCGAAAGTACGGTTGAAATATTGATACAGCAGTAAAATATATGTAAAAATTAAATAAAGTAGCGCTTATTTTTCCAATTACGTCAATGGATTTAAATATACAACCAACTACGACTTCCAACAAAAAAAGTGAATTCATCAGACTTTTTTTCAACATTATTATTTGGGATACATTTGCGAAGTTAAATGAATTTTGTGCATCGGCTTTCAAAATCAGTTTTAATATTGTTTTAAAAAAATACTGAGTGTGTTGTAAACTGATTAATGAATTACGAGCATCTGAACTCTGTAAATCAAACTCAGCTACAGTTTCCAGCAAAATAGCCAATTCATTGCAGGCGTCGACACATATTTTCACTTATTTTCTTGACAAATATTTAATTGTAATATATCTGGGAAACTTAAATATATGTTAGTGCATCGACTTTTTAAATCAGTTTTAATGATGTTATTAAAAAAATTCTCATTTTGTAATAAAATGTCTTGTGAAATGCCATGATTAGTTAAGGCTCTGTAAATCAAACTCAGCTGTGACTTCCACAAAAATGGTTAATTTATTACAAACGTCAATATCTTGAAACACGGCTAAAATTGCTTAGGTTAAAAGAATTTTTACACATCGATTATATCTGTTTGGACTCATCAAGTAATGTCATTCGATTTGCTTATACAAATAAATCATGAGACAACTACATCATCGTGAGAAATTATTTTTGATTGCTTCTTAACACGTTGAATGCCATGGGGGTGACTGGCACTGAGTTTGCTCGTAGTGCCACGGGGATGACCAGTGAAGATTATTAGAAACACATAATTGGAGTAATTTTTTATATTATTGTTACTAAAATGGTTTGAAGAAATTAATGCAATACATACTAAGAAAATTGTTTTGGCCAGACGGACAAGCCATGTAAAATTAGCCTGGCATTCAACGTGTTAATTGCATCATGGAAAAGCATTTAAAATACATGAAATCAGTCTAAAATATTTGTTTAAATAATAATTCTACTAAGCGCACAAACTATTTATTGATTGCCAAAAATGGTAATTTTTTCATTTTTGTTCAGTTTGCCTTTCTCAACCATGTGTACTTCCGTTAAAATAATGACATTAGGATTGATTTTTTTTTTTATGAAATGAGATGGAAAAGGGAAATTACAGTTATGAAAATTGATCTTGCATATTGATTTGATTGCCCTTAAAAATGCTCGATATAATATGTATAAAAAGTTTTTTAAAAATTATCATTTATTTAATCAAATTATTTTTTTTTTTTCCTTACATCATTTGAGCAACCAAATCTAGATATTCATACATTCCTTTTACAGAAAAATAAGTGAAATGCAAAACATTTGTGTGTATAGGCTGCTTTCCGTATGATCGTTCTTATTTTTAGAATCCTTGTCAAAAATGAATTAAAAAGATGTACGTGTGTTTCAAATTTTTATTTAAAGGAAGAAAAAAAATCACCAGCAAACTCTGTCGAATCATTAGTATGAAAAGCATTAAAACCAGCTTAATTACCTAATAAAAACAGGAGACAATCCTCTTCTGGTAAGCAAAGAAGTTTAGATGTTTTTAGTCCCTTGCAATAAATGATTTTAGCTCCATCTCAGACAAAAACCTCTTACAATAGAGAATGACCTCAACATTTATCTCAGCAAATTTAAGATGGTTAGCTAAAAGAGTGAGGGACTGTTTATTAATAATTGATAGACACAAGCCTTTTTACTGATTTAATCTGGGGGGAAAAAATCAAGATGGTCAAAGGAAGTAGAATGAGACAACTCTTTTCACAGCAGTTCTATAATTGTTCCATTAACTATTACTTCTAGGCAACTTTTCACTGAGAACCAGAGTCAATTTATTACGATGATCAGATATAGGGGTTCAATATTGATCCGATGCTCCATTGATTCTATAGTAGTCGATTTAGCTGTTCCAGTAATTAAATGAACTGCACAATTTTGTGTGATATGCAGTTTGGATAGAAGGCTTTTAGAAGTGGTAATTAAGAGCTCAGAGCAACGATTGGTCAAGCGTAAGATTAGTAAGCATTGGTGAACATACTGACCTGAGACACAACCCAGGCAATACCAAAAAGTTCTAACAATATATTTAATGAATTATGAAAAGGATAAACATGCCTGTATAAAAATTTGTATTAATATTTTCCCATCGAATTTTGAAGGCAAAATAAAATAATCGCATTTAAAATTTTAAAAAATGCGTTTCTCTGATAACCATTCTCAACGAACTGAACTTTTTATTTTTCATTTCAATGAAAAGCTCACTTCATAAAATCAAATTCTGAGCTGGTCTATATGCTGATCTTGACCAATAAATCATTTGTGCTGAAACCTTATCTGAAGAATATTGATAAAATCATGAAAAAATGACTTCTTACAAATTAAATAATCTTTAGGCAATTTGTTTACTCGGTTTTAAAGTTAAAAATTGTTTAATGAAATTTTTATAGTTCTTTATTTTTCAATGTTCACTAATATGAGTTCAAATGCTCCTATCACTGCAAAAAAATTAGATTTCGTAAAAATGAGTATGTTCAATCCTGACAGTTCTATTTCAGCCAAATTCAGCAAATTTTGAAAATTTAAGTCTCTTAATCGTTCACAATCTTGAGTACATGTCATTATAACTTTGACATATTCAGTTTGATACGTGTATTTGATCTTTCTTATTTGTATTGGTATTTCTCCGGCAAAATAATAGGTAAAGAATAAAGCTGTCAGAAAGAAAATAGTGTGAAAAAGTATATCGAACACCAATAGTGGATTATTTTTGGTGGATAACATCTTTGCTTGTGATTCAATAAGTATAATACCAAGTTCCGAGAACATAAAGAATATAAAAGACAAAGTATGAAAGAAAGAACTACTTGAAAATGTTGCTTGAAGTTTATTTAAAGTTTCAAGTATTCTTAAATATCTTTTGGTGAATTCATGTTGTTTCGAAAAAAATGATGTAGTTGCGAAAGCTATTTTTAAATCTTTAAGAAAATCTTTTAATGATATAGTTAAATAACGACAGTTTGTCAAATACAGAGTCAACATCGTTAAATTGCAAAACATGGTCAAACACCGGAGTGTGGACTTTAACCAAAATATAGTTACTTCTAGACTCTTGTTGTCCGTACTGAAATGATACATAAAAAAATCATTAAACTCAATTTTAAATTTATCGTTTGATATTCCACACATCAAAGTAAAAAATAAGCATGGATATATAAATATAAGGAATATCATTAACTTTGTTTTGCATCGTTCTTTGGCATTTGTATTGTTGTTTTTCGGTATAATAATTGCGTTTAAACAACTTATCAGCTGTATTATGTCTTTCCTTTTACTATGCAATGTGTGCCAAGCTAGTAAAATAAAAACCCACGCAGCCATATCAGCGATGCTAGTTCTAAGATCTTCCATTCCCATATACTGATGAAATAGTGACAAAGCAATGTTATCTAAACAGGCGAAATTAAATATAAGAGCAACTATTGCCCCTATAATTTCGATGGCTTTAAATTTGGATTTGACTAATCCACAACTAGCTACGATTTCAAGTAAAATAGTAGTAAGTTCATTACATTCTCGAAACATATTGAGATATTTTTTGGTTCACAAAATCGATCTGAAAAACTTCGTTCCTTTTTTATGCATTTGTTCTTAGAGTCAATTTATTTATTTATTTCAAAATATGTTGATTTCGAAACAATCTTTCTCTCAAATAGCGATAATTCTACATTGGTTGAAACACAAGGTGTTGCAAAATAGTAAATAAAAAATAAAATATATTAACTATTATATTAATAGAATAAAGAATAAAATTTTCTGGAAGTAAAAAAAAATATTATTTTCTCATTTTATCGATTGCATTTAATAACACTGTTTGACTACTATTGTTTTGCTTACTAGTATAAATATTTTTATAAGTCCATCAAACTTTTTATACAATGAGAAGATTTTGAAATTAAATGATGAAATTTGTAATGTTCAATAGAAAAAAAAAGGAAATTTAAAAAAAAAAACTTTATGACGAAAATATGTTTTATGATGCATACTGATTTAAATGATCAATACGCCGTAATTAAAAAACTAATATTAATTTTAAATTTATTTATCCTAGTTTCTTTTGAAAGTGTTTCCTTCTTGGAGACTTCAATCATGGCAAAATCGTTTCTATCAAACAATAAAAGATCAAATAAATTACAAAATTAAAATATTAATAAATTAAGTATCAATTAATAAAATTAATTTTTTTCCACGAAGTACTTTTGAAAA